AAATGGTGTTGAGTCTCCAGAAAAATAGTGCATATAGACCATGGAAACTATTTTCATAATATTCTATTCCATACATTATTCTATACATACATTATCTAATACTTATTGAATTCATACAAAAAATTATTGTTCTTTAATGAAACTTCTATCAAAATTTTTACTTGCATGAAATTTGGTGAAAGGAGGAAAGTGTAACAAAGTTAAAAATAACTTTGTTAAATTATGAATAAGAAATATATTGCATCAAATTTCAACACAAAAATTCTTTAATTTTAATTCAGAAAGCACATTCAGCAATTCCATTTATAGATAATAAATAATTAAAAATTATTTTCTCTAACAAGGTTCATGACTTCGCATAATAGGAATGGTTTTCTTTATAAGTCATTAATTTGATCAAATAGAATTTATTTTGTGATTCTTACCCAATTACAAAATTATTACCAACTTGTAACCAACGTTACATAAAAATTACAAATTTATAACATTAAAATAAACTTGAAATAATTCAATCTATTTCAAGTTAGTTTGAATAAGGCTTAAGAAACTTCTTAAGATTTTGTAGTATTTTTTTAATCATATTAAGAAAATCTACCATTTTTATTTCCATATTATTTAAGAATTCTAACAATAGCAATTTATTAACTATTCCTATAAAGATTCTGAAAAATTTTATTTCTTACGCCATTTATGCGCGTATATCTTTCATAATTCATTTGCGTAACAGATACATACGAGTTTTATTTCCTCAAAAGAAATTCTATAACATAATTGGACTCTTAAGTCAAAAGAAAAAAAATAATCAATGTCATTAATGAGGAGATCTTTGGTATGGAAATTCCTATAACTATAAACCGAAGTTTTCATCTAGTTAAATAATCAAACAAATTAAGTCTCTGACTGAGATTTTGAAGAATGATGAGATTTCATTTTAAGTAACTGCAGTTTTATTGTAGGTACTAAAGACAGCGTAGCTAGAAAAAAAATAAATAAAGAGAAAGTTTCATCATCAGAGATTTCAGAGTTTCTTATTTCAGAAGAATAGTATTAGAAGAGCATTTATAAAGTTTGAGTTTAAAAAATAGTTGTTAGAGAAAAGTTTTTATTTCTTGGCCCTTGTTTAGTTTAAATTTGCCCAATTACTTGGATTAATTTTAATAATATTTTTTTTTTATATTGCTGACAACAAAAAATCAGTAAACAAAAGATTTCGGCATCATATTTGTAAAGCACAGTGATTAAGATTGACATTGTGTAAGACAGAGGAAAAAATTATCTCTTGTAAATACAAAAGTATCGACATTATGTAACATATATTTTCTACATTCATAATTAGACAGAGATTATTATTTTTAAACAAAAGCAGTTTTAAAGTATTATTAAAATACTTATGTAATAAAGGGTGTTCTGACTGATATTTATAGCTTTCAACATTTAAATATGCAAAAATTTATCATTTTATTGATTACGAATGAGAAAGCTAATAATAAAAAATGAAATGCTGCTTTTAAACATGCTTATCAAACGTCAGAAAAATAATTTCGGAAGCATTGAATAAAAATTTTTGTGATTAGGTATGCTACTTTTCTATTTTTTCAACAAGTCATTTTTTCGGTTAAATCATTTATTATTATTCATGATTTAACAAAAATCCATTAAAAATGGAGAAAAAATTTGACCGTAAAGCTCGTTATTAAGCTGCCTACGCTGATGCATTTCGTTTTTAAACGAAAGCTGCCGAAAGTTTGACGAAGTGCGGTTTGTACAATTACACGCTTAAGACTTACACGTTTACAATTATTGTAATTACGTTTATTCAATTACGCGTTCAACGCCTTAAAATAAGACAAATGTATGCTTTTTGTTCACATCGGAGTGATTTTTGAAAAATTAGCTACGTTAATGTTATTGTGTACCTTACAGGCGAAAGTACACTGCATTTGAATGTACAAAGAGTTAAAAGTGCAGTTCGCAATATTTGCAAAAAGCATTTCTAAACTTTTTTTTTCTATTAATAACAGAAAATAATAAAAATACTTTGAATACGGGGAAGAAAACATAAACTGATGCACTTTGGAGTATAACTCATAAAATAAAGTGCTTTATTTCGCTTCCGAAAAAAAATTAAAACATGTAGTAAAGCGATTATTTTAATATTCCTGTATGGTCGTAAATCAAGTTATAGAGAAATTCCAGGGACTTGCTCACTTAAAGCATTTAATCATTTGATATATCTGTGTAAAACATATTTAGTAAATATGTTTTATGTGCCTTAGATGAAAAATTTATACATAAAAATAATTTAATTCTATACCAAATTTAATATTTAAGAATAATTTTATTTATATTAATAAAAACCTGTTCAAATTTCCAATAGTCTTTTCGTGGCATAACCCAATAACATTCCATGGTTTTGTTATGCTCATGACGCATGCAATTAATTAACATATCTAGCAAAATATAATCTTTTAGTATTTATCTATGCCTGCAATATCTTAGTATAAAATTTGAATGCGTGAAAAATTATTTTATTTGTATTAATTAAAAACCTTTATAAAATTATAGTTTTTGATTGTCTCTGATTTGGAATCACCCTTTATCAAAGTATTTTGACTCATTGTTCTCAAATGCAAATTTTTATTAATCTAAAGATTTTATAACGTAAAGTAATCCGGAATCAAAAGTTTATGAACTTGGAGCATAGATAAGCACTTTCTTGACTTTTATCAGAAAAACTAAATCATTTTTTAAAAAAATCGAATGGTAAAACTAAGTGTATTTCTATGCAAGGTAGATACATGCCTGTAGATAAAGTGTTCTGCAATGGCACTTTTCTCCATTACAAAAGCAGTAGTGGAAACGGATATTTCTTCACTAAAGCTGAAGTATAGTGGAACAAAAACAATACTTCTACTTAAAGAAACTGAGGAAAGATACCCAGAAAAAAGAAATGCTTTCGTAATGGATGTTACCGAGACTTCATAAATGTGCTATCTAAGAAAGGGAAAAAAATGAATGATGGCTTTTTGGCGGTCTTTGAAAGTAAACAAGTATGAAACTAAAGATTCCAATTCGACTGCCAAGTAATAAAAGGCAAGGAAATGTTCTTTAATGTAAAGTTTTAGTTCAAAATTTGCTTTTAAGAATCAATAGTCATTTACTCTAACTTTGCTTTCAATTATTAGTAAGATTTGATGGGATATGTAAAACGTGGTAAAAAAAGCCATTAATACATTTTTGAGGATCCATTATTTGCTCTTTCGTGTCTAGAAAGCCTTTTGAAAAGTTTTTATCTGTGTACATTATGCACTTGTAAGGTATCAGGGATTTCTTTTTTTTGTATCTATTCTAAAATGACAAAAGTATATGTTTTGGTAACTAGGTAAATGAGAATTACCTGATTCGATAAAGAAAAATATTTTCTTTTCTTAGTAAAATCAGATCTGAGGAATAAAATTTAAATAAGAATAAGGTAACCAACGTAGTTAAAGTCATAATAATGTTTGTACTTTATACTAAGTTTGTTTAACCAAAATTCTTTGCTAAGTTTTAAATTATGTTTAGTTATATTCATTAAGTACAACACTGAAAAAATTCCAGATCAAATTAGAGTATGAAGTATCGGTACTTTATGTGCATCATCCGTAAAATAAATTTTTACTGTAAAAATTACGATATCTTACATTTTTTTGATTTGTAACATGTCCAGGTAAGAATGGATTTTACTGTAAAAAGTGCACCTTGAGTGTCAGCGCTTTTTATGGAATTTGATACGGATTTTTTTTATAGTAATCATGTATTTTTAAAGTGTCACTGACTATAATTATGGTTTAAAAATGAGTAGTAAGATTTTAGTTAGAATTTTTGACAATTATTACGAAGTAAAGCCCTTTTAAGTAAAACTTATTTATGTTTGTGGTTGATACTTAATCTCATGATAATTGTAATGGAATATACTTTTTCTTAGATACTGTTAGTAATAGTTTAAATAACGATCCATGCTTGTTTCAAGTAAAATTGTTCACATTGTGTAGAAAGCAGTTTATATTTTTGCATAATTCTTGTTATTTGTATTATAGTCATGTTTAATATGCTTTTATTGAAAACGGTGTATAAGCTCAGCAAGGTGCACGTTAAAGCTACCATTAAGTCATCGCGTTGGTTATGGTGTGAAAGTTTGGAGAGAAGGACACCAGCTCATACGTTTACCATGTCGTCTGACTAGGGTCGAAGTTATGCGGTATTACAACAATGGTCGTTAAAAGATATTGTCGTAAAAATGGGGCTAGATATCTAGAGTTTCTGTCTTACAACATCTCCTCAATACAGGCATTTCGATTGGTAATCACGGACTAAGAAACTAAATATAACAAATTGCAAGAAGAGCTAGTGTGTTTTATTTATTATCTCAACTAAGTAACCACGTAAATTATTTGCTTAAAATGTTTTCTCAGTACTTTTGTTATTAAAGAATCTAGAACAGACGATTTTTGCAGCAATATACGGTCTGAAATTAAACATCTGAGTTGATCACCACATATGAATTTTACAGTCCAAAAAATACAGTTCATAAGAAATCGAGTAATTTTACGAGGAATCTTAGTATATAAATACCCTCCAGCATCGGGTGTTTACGAACATTGGGTTTGTAAGGTTATGGTGCAATTTTTGCCAATCAACGATCAAAAGTGCTCAAGGACTTTAAAGACACACTGTACATGTTCATTAAAAATATTTTGTTAATTTCGTTCCAATTTGGGAAATATATCAAATTGTTCATTATGTGAGAAAAAATCAATAAGAGAAGATGCACTTTTTGTAGCAGTAATTGATTAACACTAGTTTAAATTAAGATTCAGAAACTTTGTCTTTATAATGTCTTGCTGAAAATGTCTGTTAAGGAATAATAAACGTTTTTTATAACACGTCTGTTTTTATATAACGTCTGTTAAAAAGTGTTGTAAAAATGTATCGTAATATAAAAAAATAATAATTTGTACCAGTAATGCAAGCCAAGGAAGTGGCAATGGTAGATGATTTGAAGTTCGAATGGCCAAGCCTCTGCCTTTGAGCAAAGATTTGGCCAAAATGCTCTGGAAAAGTTGTTTGCTGAGTGCAGCCCTATTCACAGCAGCTTTTGCTTTCAGTCTCTTGCTCAGCCGTTTGTTCAGGTGCCGCACATCCATCGATGAACGAGTCATTGGGGCCTCTGAGCCTGGGGCCTAGGGCCGCCCTAGCTTCTGCTCAGGCTTGGCTCCTTGGGCTGAAATGATTGAGTAGATATCCTAAGCATCATTAGTGCACACCAGATATAGAAATAAAAGGAATCCGAACTCTTTTTTTTTCCAAAACTGAATGCAAGAAAATGAAATCATAAAATTCTTCACACAATCTACAAATATTTAAATAAAAATAACAAATATTCGCATTTTTTACAACTAATTTACATACAAAACTGTACTGTGCACCTTTTGCACTATAGTAATTGTCCTATTTTCTTTTTGCTCTGCTATAGCTATTGTGAGCATAGTAGCGGTAATTATTTATGCATGAATAGATTAAGTAAAACAAATTCACTTTATTATAAAGTATTATTTTAAAGTGACCGGTAATTTGTATTAAATATAAATGCTAAATATAAATCGCAAACTAAATTATGCAGTAGGGAAATCTCATTTTTGTTTCTGTATTAATTATTAAAATTAAATTGCTAATCATGCCTGTTTTCAAGAAACTGTAATTAAATGAAGGCTTTATTTGGATAGTTGGCCATATATAAAAATTTTTAGCAATTCTTCTTCTTAAAAAGTTCATTAAAAACCTTATAACTACTTATAAAAAAGCTAAGTCAATCTCGCAATTACTATCATAGAAGCAATTTTTATCTCCTTTTTAACTTATAAACAACTTAACAGCTGCTAAATACCGGGCACCACAAATCAAATGTAGGAAAATCAATACACTTATTAGACTTTAAGGCATTGTATTTCAGAATGTAAAATCATGGAGTCGGCCTGTTAGGGAAATAAGGCTTCCATGCAAAGTTTGCCAATATTATGAACATAATAAAGCTTTGTTGAAGTCTATTTCCTCGTTTACATCTTTCTTACATCTACACCATTTAAATCACTTTGCAAAAAAGGCCATCAGTACTGCCAAGTATTCATGGTTGGAAAGATTTTCTAGCATACCTGTGTGTTCAGGTATTTTTTTACTATTCACCTTTACTTTATTTAACAATTTGAACAGTTAATTACTTACATGATTTTCAGAAAGCCGATATTTATAAATATACATGACATATATTATTGCACATTTTTCAATTTTAATTATTTTAAAACAGTATTTATTGTTAGTGGAAAATATGTCATACAATCGATTTAGCCTATGTTTCTTCTTATCAATACATAATGTTTATTCCAATTCACCTGAATTCACCTTAGTTACAGTTTGGCATACATGACAGTTATTATAGAATACGGAGAATATATTATATTTTTTACTAACTTAAAATATAAAGATTTTAATGTGCTTATCTATCTATCATAAAGCTAAATAAATATGGATAAACTCATCCATTTCAATTAACATAACTAAAATTAAATGTGAGATAAAATCTTACGATATTAATTATAAAATATTTTATTAATTTATTTCTAACTAAATCCGAAATGTTTATCTGGATATCTTTATATCTCTTTATTATTTATTTTATTGTGGATTGTATTAAGTTAATAAAAATAACTTATAATCAGAATTTTAGTAAAATATTTCAATAATTTAATAAGTCAATAAAAATGAAAGACTGTATAAAAATTGATTCATTAATTTATTCATTTCTTGAGATTTTAATTAAAGTTGATATGATAAAATATGCGGTTTTAAGGAAACAAACTAATTTGTATGGAGAATAGTTTTAGTAGTTAAAATATTAACGATTTATCTAGTTATAGTTAAAATTATCATTTCACTAAGACATTTTTAAAATGAAACATTATTGCTTCAAATTCAATTTATTTAATAAAAAATAGTCACGTATGGTTAAAATTAATATTTTCGTAATTTCAAGTAAAAAAAATATATATAGATATAGCTATTCTATATTACTTGAATGCCACACTTTGCCAGCTTCATCATGATTAAATTTTTTTAATTAAAACCAGTTAGATACTAAAAAAGATGATTAGTTAATTAAATGCTAAAAATCATTTAAAGAAATAAAATATTTTAATATCTTTAAATCTGACAAAATGTTTCATGTATCATTTGGAAAGTCCATTTAGCTAAATAAAATTAAAACTTAAAGAATTAAATTAATTTTACTATATTTTCTCATAAAAATATTTAAAAATCATTGCCAAAATAAGTCTGTTGGCGAATCATTTTATTCTTTAAATGCATTTTATGAACATTCAGATTATATTTAATGGATATTTAAAACTTTCTCGACATTTACGAAACATAACGCTTCTTTTGTATGAATATTTATAAACTTTTATTTTAATGGTTAGTCTATTATATTAAAAGTAGAATTTAACTTATAAAAAATTATTTAATTTTCAAAAAATAATTATCATACGAACTTATTTTATGCAAGTTTCGGCTTTATTTGACTTTCATATTAAAAAAAAAAATATTGTAGAAAATTGATATTGAAAAAATATTTTTATGTATTATTACTAATATTAAAAATAATAATTTCCATAAATATTTTTTTAATGTTTGGTTAATTATTTCTTCATTTAAAAATATAAAAAATGGTTAGTATTCATTTTTATAAATAATAAGCCACTTATTAGCACATTTTTTTCTCAGAACTAACTATTTTTCTATTCAGAAGTGGAAATCAAATTGATCCATGGTGCCGCTTAAATGGTTGATATGAATATCAAAAATGAGCTCGAACTATTTTTTTAAAAGCTTCAAATTAAGTTTTATGAAAGTAGACTGATACAAATTAAAACTAATCCTTGTCTTTTGCATTCTTTTGAAAGTTTAATAATATTTTTTGAAGAGAACTATTATAACTTCTAGACTTTTGAAAAAAAAAGTTAGAATCATGCTTCTTTTTTTTTATTTTTTCCTTCTATTGGTACTTTTTGAAACAATATTGCTAAAGTGAAATCTAAATTAAAGTGCCATATTTTTTTGTTACAAATATTTACAAAATCGCACTCTCATAAAAATATATATAACTACTTGTTATAAGCAACTCATTTAAAAAAGAGTTTTTTCTTGAAAATTTTCTCATTTTTAAGAAACTACTGGGTTTAGTCGAACCATTTTACCAATTTTTTTTCCTTTTTTAATCAGATACAGCAAAATGCTCTAATTTTTATTGAAACCAATTTGATTCAAAACATAAATCTAACATTTGAAAATATTAAACTAAAAACCATAAAACTAAATTTATCTTTTGCACAATTTACTGACATTTTATTTTTATAATTTGATACAGTTATATACAGTTTAGTTCATAGCAATCAACAATGCAAAAAAATAATACATTCGTAAGAAAGCAATTATTTAACAAAATATTGAGTATAAAAACTAATCTAAGCATTCAGTTCTGGAAGAAAAAAATTATTAATGCACGTGCTGGTGTGACAAATTGTTGTTCGGTTTATTTTGAACGACACGTTTCGCTAAGCAAATAAGATAATTTAATCAATATTTTCCTCTTAACATCAACAAATGAAGCACTCATTATCAGTCTCAGTGTTTTCCATTAATTGTGTTACAGTTTATCCTGATTCCCAAGCAATAATAACGAGAAAATGATTTTCATGATTCGGAAAAGAAATACGAAAAAAGATTATAATAAGCTAACAGCTGTATCAGAAATATCACTGTTTGGTTGAAATAGTAAAAACATTATTTGCATAACATATTTAACTAAATACATTAACATTATTACCTATTTTTTAGTACATTTAAATATTATTTTAAAAATCTTTATACAAAGAGAAAACAATTTTCTTAAATTTACCGTACTGTATAGTAATGATAAAAAAAACTGGTAAAAAAGACATAATTCTGGTTTATAAAACCAAGATATATTTATTTTTTATAAACCAAATAAACCAAAATATACTGTTTTTTTAAGCGCCAGTGTAGACCAAAATATAATGTATTTATTTGTTATATTTCCTATTTCATTTCGTAATTTGTTTTTGCTAACATGGTAACGGTTCCCGGATATTTTGGTTTTAGAAATTATAGTTCTTAAAAATACACGTTTAGTAAGGAATACAAAACGTAACATATTTAACCTTTAGTAAAGAGAACAAAACTGAAAAGTAAATTTAATTTAATAAATTATTTTCATTCCATGATCTAAGGTATCATGATAAAATTATCAAATTTAATCGCATTTATCAAATCTTAGCATAGGTTATAAAATGATATTTTTTTATTAATTTTATTAAAATAATTACCAAAGAGCTTCCGCATTACCGAATTTTTCGGTGCCCTCAAAGAGACAGAAACACAGTAAATTTTACCCTATCCTGTTAGTTTTAACCATACTTTTCGTCTTAATGAAGTATAAATATTATTGTATAGTTAGGTGCATATAAATATTATTTAATATTTTGATACATATAAATATTATTTTATAGTTTGGTGCATATAAATAATATTTTAAAGTTATTTTATAGTAGAAAACCATTACTTCAGACAGGTGTAAAATGAATCTAAATTGTTATCATAATCAACGTAATAACTGGTAAATTTATTATTTTACTAAGATTTTCATACCATTTAACGGTAAAAGTAACTTTACGGTAAAATTAATTAATACGAATGATGCACCCAGGGTGCGAGTTTTTTATTACAGTGTATCAAATAATTTATAGTTTATTTTAGATAAATTTCACAGCTTATTTTGGTATTTTGTTAAATATTAACATTAAAAGTAAAAATTAAAAAAAATATTTTAATTTTTGTTCAGTATTGAAAGTATTTGTCATTTTTAGATTAAATATTAGACTTTACTAGCTTTCTTATAATCTCTTTAAATATTAATTGTAATAGGTAAAATATTTTTCCAATTCTCGCATATTATTTTAAAACTATTATCATTTGTTTTTTTCTCTGTCATAGTTTAGTTACAGTGATTAGACATTCGATATCAATTTTTCCTAAACTGCTAAAAACTACTAAAAAAATGTTTTTTTTTATAAAATCCAAAAGCTTAGATTTTAAATAAATTTTTCGTATGTGCAAAAAAATAAAAGACATTTAAACTTAACATTTCTAGGT